CCCAGGCGGGTCTCGAACCCGCGGGCTCAGGCAATCCACTCACCTCAGCCTCCTAAAGGTGGGGGATTACAGGCTGAGCCACCGAGCCCGGCTAGCTAACTCTTTTAGTATTCAATCACCGGAGCTTCTAGTCCTCTCTGATCCTCCAACTGGGTTTAGGGGCCTCTTCGGAGGCCCCAGCACTACTCGATTCCTCTAGGCCGTGCCACCAGACTGCCAGGTTGCTCGTTTTGCAGCATCCTCAGGGTATCCCCGGCTGGGCGGGGTATACAAAGGTGGGCGGAGCCCTGGGGGAGCGTCAGAGGTAGTTCCCTCCTTTTTTCTAGGTCTTGTCCTCCAGGGTGGCGTTCACCTCTTCCCCGGAACCTTAGGGTCTCCCGCTGCGGTTCCGGTCGGAATTACGCAGTGTCGCACGCCAACATGGCTGCGCTGGCACTGAGAGGTGTTCGGGAGCTGCTGAAGCGTGTGGATTTCGCGTCGGTTCCGCGGAGACATCGACATAAAAAGAAATGGGTAAGGTCCGACTGGGGGCACAGGATGGAACAGTAACGGTGGAAGCTTCTCTAACCCTTCCATTTCCCGCCCCCTAGAACCCAAAGCCTCTTTACCCTGCCATTCGCGGAGCGTCACTAAGCTCCTCCCTCTCACGTCTGTTACGTCACCGCCTCTCTCTCTCTCTCTGTCCTTTTATTTCGCCCTAAGTGTTCATCTCTTGTACTTGTTACGTCTGCAGCCTCCTAACTCCGCCCTTCTAAGTTACGTCATCGCCTCGCCCTCATTCTTTTAGTTATGTCACCTCCTCCTGCTCCCAGCTCGGCTTACCTTTCCTTTGGCCCCCACTACCCCTTCCACTTCCCTCCCTCTTCCCCTCCCTCCCTCTTCCCCTCCCTCCCCCCCCTTTTCCTTACCTCCTTACCCCATGACCTCTTCTACTCCTTTCCTCATTGATCATCATCCTGCCCGGTCGCCCTCACCCCCCGGAAAATGCCATAGCGAAATCCCCTACTCCCCTGGGTCTCCGCTGCCTTGCGGGAAAGGGATCAGCCCCGTCCTCACCCTCAAGCTGCCACTGGCGCCCAGGAAATGTTACAGCGACCGCCCAGCCCATACTACCGGCCCTTCCACAAACGCAGGCAAAAGGTGCAAGGACTCCTCTCACCCTCCGGACTCTCCCCATTTCTCTAGAGTCGCTTTCTCTTGTCTCACCGGTAGCCCGGGAATTTCTTCCATAAATGGCACGTCCCGGTGCTTACCTCAACCGGTTCCCTCCCCGCCCTCATCGCCCCCTTCCTCACACCCACAGCCTCCCTTGCCCCCAGAGAGATGTTCTTTTGAACCCTCTTCTCCCCAACTCCTTCAAACGCCTTATTGCTGCATTTCGGGTTCTCCTCCTTCAAGTCCTTATTTTGACCGGTTCAGCCTTCTGGGGTCACCCACTCTCCATCAACGGATCCCTTATTACAGCTGGATCAGTCCGCCGAGAATGCCAAGTCCCTGTCCTCGAAGCCCTTGTTTTGACCAACACACTTACCTCTCTTACTGTAGTGGTTACTCTCCAGCTTTGGGAAGCAGCATGGTGACCTCCCCTCCCCTCACTCATCAGCCTCCGAGAACCAGTCCCCTGACCTCCCCTCAGCTCACTCATGTACCCTTGGAAACTGGCCCCATGATTTCACCTCCCCTCACTCCTGAGTCCCAGGGAACTTGCCCTGTGATTTCACCCCCTCCTACTCATAGGATCCTGGGAACTTGCCTCACGATTTCGCCTCCCCTTGCTCACCAGCCAGTGGAAACTAGACCTATGGTCTCTCCAGTCCTTTCTCACAGGGTTTTGGAAACTGGACTGATGATATCCAACCTGCCTTCTCACTGGTCCTCAGGGGAAAGTTATAATGATCCTCTTCCTTCCTCACCATCTTCCCCACCTACTGCCGGCTTATACCATGGCAGCCATAAGCCTCCAGACTCTTGTGACCCCAAACCACAGCTTGATCTGCCCCTTGAGAAAAATTGTTGTGGCTCCCCACTCTCATCTCAGAGAGGCATGTCTGGCTCTCCCTGCTCACCTCGGAAGGGCTCTTATCATTATTCCCATCTTTCCTCAGAGGCCTGCATACCTGCCCCTGGGAGTCCTTGCTGTTCCATCCGCCTGGCCCCTGGAAGTACTGTTTCTCCTTGCTCATCCCAGCCCCAGGCTCCCAGGGAGTCTTGCTTTGAGTCCCTTTTCTCCTGGGAGGCTAGTGAAAACTCTTACCTCCTCCTGTCCCCGGATGCTATGACTTCTGGTCCCTCTTGTTCCCAGGAATCATCTCTTCCCCACTGTCCTTATTCTGTCTTCTCCGTCCCTTCACCTCTGGGCAACCAGTCTATACCTTCACCCCAGTCACTTCCCCGCAGAAGCTACAATGAACCTCCTCTCCCTTCCCCAGTGTCCCCCAAAGTGCAGTCCCCTAAATCCTCAGAGTTGAGGCAATCATGCACTCCCCACAGATGTCGCTCCCTAATCAACACTCCCCAGCATACCCCTCCTGGCCATCCCAAGCCCCCTGAAGCTAGCACCTCTCCTCCACCTCCTTCCCACCCCTCTGGCCTCTCTGGTCCTTTTTGTGTGAAGCCATGCATCACGATGCTTTCAAATTCCTGTCCCAAAGAACTTCTCCCAGGAACTACCTTACCCACTGTGGTCCCTAGGACCCTCAGAACTGTTATTCCCACTTCTCTTCCCCTTTGCTTTCCTTGTGATGCGGTTTTACCCAGTAGTTATGCTCAGAGCAGGCCCCATGGACTCCCTATGAGATCTCCATGCAATACCCATATATACTCTGTGGTTCCCTCCACTCCCCATCCCAGCCCAACCCCTGGTTCCCTCAGCCACTCCACAGGCCCTACTCAGTGTCATAACTATCCCATTGTGCCCCCCTGTGGCACCTATAGCACTCCCAAGGGCCCAACCCAACCTCATTATCAACCTCCGGTGCCTCCTTGTTCTACCCACATCTATTCTTTTATCCCTTTGAGAACACCCTTTGATCCCCGATGTTTACCCATTGTTCCCCGACCCCGGGCCTACCTTGATACTATCCCCTGTGGCCTCCATGTCTACCCAGTGGCCTCTCAAGGCTCTTGCAAAGAGCCTCCCAAGATCCCCTACAGCTGCCCTTTGCCTTCATCCAAGGATTCCAGCTGTAGCACTAATCCCAGCTGTAGTTCGAGTGTTATTAGTGAATGCCAGAGTAGTGACAGTCAGAGCAAGAGTACCAACCAAAACAAAAGTCAGAGCCAAAGTAAGAGTCCCCATGATAGCAGAAGTCAGAGCCAGAGCAAGAGTCCTCATCTGAGCATAAATCAGAGTCAGAGAAAGAGTCCCCATCGTAGCAGAAGTCGGAGCCGGAGCAATAGTCCTCACCGAAACTTAAATCTGGGCCAGAGTAAGAGTCCCCACATTAGCAGAAGTCAGGGCAAGAACAAGAGTCTTCACTACAGCAAAAGTCGAAACCAGAGCAAGAGTCCTCATCATGGCAGAAGTCAGGGCCGGAGCAAGAGTCCCCAAAATAGCAGGAGCCGGAGCAAGAGTCCCTACCAAGGCAGAAGTCGTACTCGGAGCAAGAATCCTCAGTATAACAAGAAATGAGGGCCAGAGCAAAAGTTTTGACCAGACCAAAATCCAGGCTAGAGCAAAAGTCACAGATAGTAACAAGACTGCCAGCCATAGCATTCCAGCTGCTGCAACCAGGACCAACTCATGGACTCCTCACCTGAAGTCTTAATGTCCCTTTTACTCTACCTTTCTGCTCTTTTCTCCATGTCCTTCTCTGCTACCCCCATAGCAGTCATCCTGGAAGTCCCTGTTTTGGTTCATACCTCAGGATTCTGTGAGTCTCTTTATCTCATCTTCCTGGAGTCTGGAAACTCCCAAAATGACCCTCAACCCTATGATTCTGAGTGTTATGGTGCTAGTAGCTGCATGACTTTAGGTAAGTTACCCACATCCCTCCATCAGTGTGGAAGGCTGATATTATTTTTTTGTATCCTACTAAGTTATCTGTTGTAATGATCACAGAAGCTAGTAGACATGATAGTACTTTGGAAAATAGAAAGACTGTTCAGAGGAAAAGGGTTTTTTTTCTAAACCCAAAGCTTACCTATGGCCTTCCATAGTTTCTCCTAACCTGCAGGCTCTCCTCAAGAGTCTCCTCCTGAGCTTTCATTCTTTTTTTTTTTTTTTCTTGCTCTGTCACCCAAGGCAGAGTGCAATGGTGTGATCATAGCTCATTGCAGCCTCGAACTCTTGGACTCAAGTGATCCTTCTGCCTTAGTCCCTCAAGTAGCAGGTACTACAGGCGTGCAACTCCATGCCCAACTAATTTAAAAAATTTTTTGTAGAGTTGTGGAGGTCACACGATGTTGCCTAGCTGGTCTTAAACTCCTGGCCCCAAGCACTTCAGCCTCCCAAAGCACTGAGATTACAGGCTTGAGTCACCATACCCAACTTCCATTCTCTTAAGTTTCTCTTACTCCGTTGTCTCCTTTCTTGATGACTCCCATGTAGTTTGTCAAGTTACAACTTCCTTTCTCTCACAACCCTGGGATGGGAAGGCCAGCTCCCTACTAGTTTTCTGTTTCACACTTCTCTTCTGACAGGCAGGTATACAAAGGTAGGAGTGGATCCAAAAGTGCCCCTAGACTCTGAGGCAGAATCAGGTATTAGGGGATAGAGGCAAGACTAGGACAACCACTAACCCTGTCCTTTCTCTTTTAGGCTGCCACAGAGCCCAAATTCCCCGCTGTTCGACTGGCTCTGCAGAATTTTGACATGACCTACAGTGTGCAGTTTGGGGATCTTTGGCCATCAATCCGTGTCAGTCTCCTCTCAGAGCAGAAATATGGTGCGCTGGTTAATAACTTTGCTGCTTGGGAGCATGTGAGTGCTAAGCTGGAGCAGTTGAGTGCCCGGGACTTTGTGAATGGAGCTATCTCCCACTTGGAAGTGGAACCTGAGAGTCGTCAATCTGCAGCTCCAACCTCAACATCCTGGGCCTGCAGTCCGAACCTTCGATGCTTCACTTTTGCCAAAGGGGATGTCAGCCGCTTCCCTCCTGCCAGGTAGGATCTGGAGCCATGGCTGGGACTGTCCTGAGTGCCTGCTTGAAATAGACATGAAGAGACCCAGCTCCTGTCCTCTGTCATAAGGATATTATGTTGCTAATATTTATGGCGCATTAGGCATTTTTTTGAGTGTTGTGTATATGTTATCTCCTTTGTTCTGTCAACAGCCTTATGAAGTGTTAATATTATTGCTTTTTTTTTTTTTTACATTTGGGGAAACTAAGGTAGAGAAGTTAAGGTACTTACTTGCTTTATGTCTCTCAGATAGTAAGTGGTGCAGCTAGTATTTAGAACTAGGTGGCCTGAGCCCTGAATCTGCACAATGAACCTGCTCTGCTGCCTCCCGTAGAAAACAACCACCTCTTCCCTGAGCACCCACGGGTCCCTCTCAAGTTAGTGTGTGTTATTCACAGCTGTCTTCTGTTTTGCCCCCAGAGCCACTCATCAAAGTGAGTAGGAGAAGTAATCTCGTGGTACTGAGGGCAATAGGATTTTCCTAGGAAATGGGACTGACTGAGGGGCACAGAGTTGGCACTAGACTGGGAAAAAGCATGAATTTCCAGTCTCTTGATCCAATGTTTATGTATATGAAGTTGAGTGAAAAAGGCTCCAGAATCAAATGCTGAATGAATTGTGCTTTTGAAATTGGGAAAAGGAAGCCAGATGCAGTAGCTCATGCCTATAATCTAGCACTTTGGGAGGCCGAGGTGAGAGGATTGCCTGAATCCAGGGATTTGAGACCAGTCTGAGTAACTTGGCGAGACCTCGTCTCTACAGTAAATCAAAAACTTAGCTGGGTGTGGTGGCACGTGCCTGTAATTCCATCTACTTGGAAGGCTGAGGTGGAAGGACTGCCTGAGCCCAGCAGATAGAGGCTGTAGTGGCTGTGATTGTGTCACTGCACTCCAGCCTAGGCGACAGAGTGAGACTCCAACTCAAAAAAAAAAAAAAAAAAAAGAAATTAAGAAAAGGAAAGCTCAGTATCAGTTTTAGGATATAGAAATTGATCTATGAAGGACTCATTGATTCATTCAGAAATAGTTATTGTCTACCAAATGCTAGGTATTTGAGTGCTTTGGTGCACAAATCCTCATGGAACTTCCAGTCTAGTGAGGAAGACAACTGTTAAAAAACTACTTAGCTAGGCACGGTGGCTCACACCTATAATCCCAGCACTTTGGGAGGCTGAGGTGAGAGGATTGCCTGAGCCCATAAGTTCAAGACCAGCCTGGGCAACTTGGTGAGACCTCATCTCCACAATAAATCAAAAAATTAGCTGAGTGTGGTGGCGTGTGTCTGTAGTCCCAGCTACTTGGAAGGCTGAGGAAGAAGAAGCACCTGTGTCCAACAGGTCAAGGCTGCGGTGGCTGTGAGCGTGCCACTGCACTACAGCCTGGGCGACAGAGTGAGACTCCAACTCAAAAAAAAAA